GAATTCATTGAAGCCAAGAGTGAGAAAGTACTACCTATCGTTACCCTAGGGCTTAGGCACTTGTAGCTGACAGCACGGCTTTTGACACAACTCCATTTCAAATTTCAGCGAGAAGAGGGTGGGCTTCCAAAGGTCTCTCATTGTTCTTCCCCTACCATCAGCCTTTCAAGGAGTCTTGGACTTGATTTCAAATGCCCTCATGTAGTAAAAACATTAATCACAAGCATCCATGCCTTCTCCGGGATCCGAATATGGAACTAAAGCTATGGGGACTACCTTTATTAGTCACTATGCTGACCACACCGAATTCAGAATATATGGGTAAATGTAATGGGAATGCGGTACAGAACCGACACTTCATAAAACTGGCTGCCTGTCTACCGGCATAGGCTAGACAAAGGCAGCTCAAAATTCGGCTTCGGATCTATGCCGGTGTTGGTACTACGACGGTATTGGTCCTATGCCTGTATCGATCTAATCAAAGAAACAACAGCTTAATCAAATTCTTTCCTGCTTGATTATGAGCTGTTTGAATTAGAAACCTTTGCTATATTACGCAATGCCCATTGCATGCTAATATAAGTTCCTACATCGTCGACCCTACGCAGAGTCGATAGTATGCCTGTAACTACTCTGTGAAGGGGGCAAAAGTGCATTAATTCCTTTGCTCATTATTACAGCATTATCGAAGTTTCTCTTTTTTCGTTTCGATCGCATGCTCGTAACTACTAGTGTCATATACCAGTGTGGTTCTACGCAGTGTCGATTCTTTGAGTATAACCAGATCGAATCTAACATTTCCACTTGCAGAACTATCTGCTTTTCTTTGAATGAGCTATGCCTTATTTACTGTTTTATTAAAATAGTTCATAAATCTGAAAGCATAATCGTTGCTAATAAGAGCCGAATCTTTTAACATAATTGTTTTACACACTAGTAGGAAAGGAAAAGCAAATAAATTGAAGCTTAGTAATTCATACCAATATAAAGCACAAGGTATACTTGCCAAGGGAAAAATTTTTAAAACTTAGGAAGAATATGATCGTATTATTCATGCAAATTATTAATTATACTATTAAATATTAATAAAATTAATTAAATATTAATTTTAATTAATAATTAATAATTTTGATTAATAATTAATAATTTTGATTAATAATTAATAATTTTATTTAATAATTACTATTAATATTTATATAAATAGCTTAACACAGTTTTCTCTTTCATGATAGAAATGAAAAATAACTCCAGAGTACAATGATTTTTAAAAATTTCCCTCAGAGCCTCATATCATTCGTTGAAGGGATGTAAGCCAATGAGAAAGTAAATGAAATTTGAACCAATAAAGATAAATTAAATCCGTTCTTGAGAAAATGAAGCGTAAAAGCCGAAACAATGGTGAATGAAGAACTGATTTATTTTAAACATTTGTTGTTGTTATTTGAGAGCTCCTGCAATAAAATGTTCAGCATTCCACTAAAGTTTTTTAATAATAAAAGCACTAGATGGTACCAGGAAATCAAGCCAAAGCCTTCTGAAACTCATAACAAATACATTCAGTATTTCTTCATTCATTTAAATCCCGATCCAAGTTTTTCCTTACAGCGCTTTACCTATTGGTTGGCAAAAGACTGCAACTTAGATGAATTTGTATTATCAGAATAAATTTCCGCGTGTTTTATTTGTTAATTTAATTACCTGTTTCTAAGCAAACTTGCGTGTGGAAGTAAAGAAGAAACACTACATTAGTTGTCGACAGATGGCAGCACTAGAAATAAAGCAAAAGCGGTTAAGCTTAAGCAATTAAAATATCGTTTTATTTGATTATCTTTATTTTTCAACACGGGGAACACCTAAATATAAGTACTATTTAGCGAAATCAAAGTATCTTTCTCATTTCAAATTTTTCTGATATTCACAATGGTGAAGACTCACAAAGAAACTTGAAATAATTCATTCCAGTTGGTCTCTGCTCTAGAATCTTAGGATGATAGATGGGATCTGAATGGAAGTTAAGAAGAGAAAACTTCTGTGGAGATAATTTAAAAACTAAGAATCTTTCTGATACTTTTCGTAACTACGTATAATCATGAAATATTGAATTAATATGGTACTTTTCTAATGTTTTTTATTCTTATACAGAATTTAAGCCTTAAGAATAAAAGAATAACGGAATGTTATAGAATGTTCTCTATTAACATTCCTGCTGAATGTTTGGAAGAATTTACCAATTAAATAATAAATAAATAAGAATGTTTTTAAGATAATCGAAAAAGGGAGAAAATGATGAAAATGCGTTGAGAAAATCGAAGGGGGTAAATGTAACTATTGGAATGTATTTTCAATTTTATTAGAAAGAAGCTCACAGTTTATCTGCCCTTATTATTATTATAATTACTATTATTATTATTTTATTTTTATAAGCAGTTGGTTAAAAGTATGTAGCCATATTACACACGACGTCGTGTAATAAAAGACTTGGAAGTTTATGCAGCTAGCTCGGGTCAGCTAACTGATTTAAAACAAAATACGCCTAAGAATTGCTTCAACTCAGGGATGCCATATAAAGAACATTTTAAAAAGAAAGCAGCTCGTACTCACATAAGGACAAACCATGTCATTTGTTCATGGAAAAAAGCCATGTAGTTAACCCATTCGTTGAGATTTGAGTCGGAGGAGCCATACTAGCAATGGACAGCGTCCTTATCCACTGGGCCGATAATGGTCAGCAGCAAGCTCACAACAAGCTTGTTATATGTTATTTTGATATGAGGCTAAATTATTTGTCTTTAAATGCATTAGTTTAATATTCCCATTTTTAAAATTATATAAAAATTTGAATTTTTTCCTCTAATAAAAATTAATTTTTCTGTGATTTCTAAAGTCTTGATTTTAGGTAGATAGAAAAGAAGAAGAAATTTTGGAAGATAGAAATACTTTTAAATTGTTGCATATAGTGCTGATAAAAGTTAGTTGCTTTAAATATGTTCTAAAACAAGTATTTCTGATGTGTTTCACAGATGGAAGTTAACAATCATAGTTTCTTTTTTAAAATGCATTTCTAATTTTTCATAGCTAATTTGGCCCGACCTATAATTTTTCACCTGAGGCAAGCGCTTCTTGTCCCTTCTCTGATGGGTCAAAGCAGAGAATGCAGATTAATGGTTAAGTCATGCAAAAACTGCCATCCGTCTAAAAGTGCTAAATTAGTCACACTTTTCTGCAATTATTCCGTAAAAACTAAGGGTGAACTACACTTCCGTTTTTCACTGTACTTCACAGATGCAAAATACCCCTCTGAATACTAACAAATAAAGTTTACTTTTAAATCAAAAGAGGTATCAATGTGGGTTTTTCATGTGAGTGAAATTTTATGCTCGGAAATATCTGCATGCATCATCATTATGAGTACAAATAGCTTATCGTATTGGCATTTTATTGTATTTCAGCATTGCTTTACTTTATTGAGCAACTGTACCATTGTACTATGTGTTTCAAATATTACAAAACTATAGTTCGCATGTTGTACGTGAGACATATTACTTGTGCCCTAAAATTAACAAATGTCTCTTATTACTGTAATATGGAATATTATTTTCTAAAAAAAAAAAGGTTGTAATGTATATGCACCGTACAACTGTAAAGGGTTACACAAATTTATATATTTAATAAAGAGACATCAACACTGAATAAATATCTTAATCGTAACTATTATTACTGATCATCTACTTTTCCGTTTCATCAAACAAATGAATATACTATAACTAGATAACTGCGCAAGTACGTATTAAAAGTTTTATAAATATTTTTTTTAAATTCCAATGACAATGTTCAAACTTCTACAGTTTACCACGGTAAAGACTGTTTACTACGGTTGCAGTTAACTATGTTTTCATAAAAAAAGATAATCGATTAATCAGTGCTAAAGAATTTTAAAAAAGGGGAGAAGAAAACTCGTATTGGGAAGAGCAAATTGGCGTGCACTTAAGCAACAGCATACTGCCATATTAACTGAAAGCAGCAATACAGTCTAAACTCCTAATCTACTGAGACAATGGAGTTCATTTGTGGCTGTCGGTTGAAATTGCGTTCTAAACCAAGGAGGCAAATGTTTATGCTTATAGCAATGAAAGGAGAGTTTTCTTTCTCTTCGAGTGGCAAGAAAGGTGACTCTCCTTGGTAGAGGTGAAATTCTCACTCAAAGGATTTAAGCGGGTACTAATTGAAATTCCCTTTGTAGATGGCTTGAATGAAAATTTAAATTCCTTATACTTTCGCTAAATATCACATAAATCAAACTATTATAATAGTGCACAATACCACTTTATTTGAATTATTAGAATTAAATTTGAATTTTTTCTTAAATTAGAACTACGGATCTACGACTTACTGTTTGAGAGGTTATAAGGTATTTCTCCCGCCTTTCTAGCGTGCCTTCGTGGTGTAGTGGTTCTGCATGCTGGACCGGCATTCTAGAGATCCGTGGTTCGATTCCCGGCGAAGGCGATTGCTCATTTTTCATCTCTCTTGCTTTTCCAATTAACCTAATGTCTCTACAAGGTTTTAATGCTCATGGTATTTTCAGAACTCAGTACCGGTGCATAGCTTCTTTTCCAAATTTTGGTTGCTTTTTAAATAAGACATATGACATAAACAGATTAGTAAAAATACATTGTATAAAATTAATATAAATTAAATGAATATAGCAAAAGAAGAGTTAGTGATCAAGGCACGAATTCTTCTACATGCTACAAGAGCTGCAGTTTAAAACGATAAACCGAAGATTCGACATAACTAGCTGTTTATGTAACGCTGTGTAACTTTAATATTCTTAAATAAATGCTTGTTTCTGATGTGTTAGTGTTGTGAATAAGATATGGTAAAGAGTTTTAATAAACTGATTCATAAAATTCTGAAAAGTATTACCTCTATTTCAGTTAATTAATGTTTCATTTTCTAATATCATAATACAATAATGAAATTTTTCCATTTCTCTCCAGGTCAGGGCCGAGTAAATCAATTAGGAGGAGTTTTCATCAACGGTAGGCCGTTGCCTAATCATATTCGTTTGAAAATTGTAGAAATGGCAGCAGCTGGCGTTCGTCCGTGCGTCATCAGCCGTCAGCTCAGAGTGTCACATGGATGTGTGTCGAAAATTCTAAACAGATATCAAGTGAGTCTTTTCCCAAATAGGATATTAAAGGTGCTATGTAAATTCTCGCGAAATTCACTGAAAGTACGTAAAGTCACATCCAAATACTTTCGAAATTTATTAAAAATATATTAACTTGCCTCTCACCTTATTCTCCAGAAGCACTCTCAAAATACTCCCTATCAGAATGTACGGACACACCACAGGGCCCTTCTCACAATGAGTAGGTTTCATGGAAGTCACTTGTTATTAGAAACTAGCAACACCACCTGCAATGCTTCTGTCTTGTATTAATAGAGTTAAATCTTCTTCCTTTCTAATAAATTTGTTGTTGCTGAGTGGATAAGCTCACTGAACACTTGTTCAATCCGGGTTCGAGTCCTGACGTATGGGCTAGCTGAACAGTTTTCGTGGTTCCTCTCATGAATACGACCCTTCGGCTTAGAAAACTCTTCAAAATACATTCCTGTCCTTAGACAGACATCCCATACTATAATCGTTTATCCTGCTCATTCAGTTTATTCATTAAATATCGGCTCTTGGAAGAAAGCATTCATTAAGCGGTTTCCTAGTTAATATATCCTCGGGCGGACAGTATGATGAACGATTAGATTTTGGCCATTCTACCTCCTGTCCTTCGGAACCTGAGAATCCTGGGAGCAGTTAAGGCTGGCAAGATTCAAGGTAGAGTTTCACAAAGTCCCTAAGATGGGGCTCACGTTTATCGAACTCCTAAATCCGCCTATAATGCAGAGTTGAGAAAAGAAGAGTGCGACCACTTAATTGCTTTCACAGAAGCGTGTCTACAACTTATTATTATAATTTAAGGAAGATAGCCCTAGTATGCTTTGCCGTATATAAACAAAAGCCAGACAAATTTTTCACTTTTGAGAAAAGAAAAATCTCAGAAAGGTAAATGTGCTAACTAAAAAAGGTAAACGACAACTGCCATTTTAGTGCACACAAAGAGTGCTGCACAACTGATGGTCTTTCAGCGCACGTAACATACTGATGAAAGACTCATTTTCTATTATGATATTTTCTAGGATTAGCTTTTAGCCGCCTCAGAATGCCCCAACTTGGCATTTCTATATTGAACATAAGAAAAAAAAAGTTTCTTGTATGCTATTTTCTCATTATCGGAGGAACTGGCTGGTACAATAAAATAAGCATCAAGTCTGTCATGGACTTTCTGTTCCCTTTATAGTAGCACCAAATCGATGATAGACTTGATGCTTCGTTTATAGTAACATCGATTCGACGATAACACCTACAGAAATGAGGGTTTAACTGTGGAATATCAGCGCGTGACACACTAAGTGAAGCTGCATGCAGCGCTATCTAGAATAATACTAGCAAAGTGTAATCTTCTAGGTGTATTCGTACAGTTTCGTTATATTTTGAGTATCACCTCGTATTTTCAGCATATATTATTATATAAATTAAAAATTTGTGTACGTACACATTGCCTAAATTAATCAGCTCTACGTCTTCATTTGAATAAATAAAAGAAATAAGGTATTTCTCCCGCCTTCTTAGCGAGCGTTCGTGGTGTAGTGGTCTGCACGCTCAGCGCGTAATTGAGAGGTCCGCGGTTCGATTCCCGGCGAAGGCGTTGCTAATTTTTCAATCATCTTGCCTGCTTCCAAAATTACCTAATGTCCATACAGTGACGCCTGAATTAAAATGTTGAATGATGATTCTCCTCCCCCAGTATTTGGCAACTGGGTCCCCTTAAAACCCCAGTCGACCTTTAAAAGGGGGAGTATATAAGGTATTTCTCCCACCTTCTTAGCGAGCCTTCGTGGTGTTGAATTTTTCTGCACGCTCAGCGCGTAATTGAGAGGTCCACGGTTCGATTCCCGGCAAAGGCGTTGCTAATTTTTCATCTCTCCGGCCTCCAGGAAAATCCTAATGCCTCTACAGTATAACTCGCTCCCTTCACTTTTTTTTTTCTCTGCCTGATTCTATAACACAAGATAGACTCGTGGCCTGAATATAACTCTACATGATTTGGGCAGAGAATTTGCATTTAAATTAAATCAGTACTGTCGTAAGCCCATGCTTAATTTTTATTCTTTTACTTTGAACTGGCCATCTAAATTGCCACTAATTCTTCTCTCTAATAGAATGCGAATCCTCCGCTTCGGCTACTTTTCTTGAAAGGCAAAAACACTTCCATCAATATATAATTCATATTCCAGTATCAATTTAGAGCTATTACTTTTTATTCTCATTTTTCATGACTTTTAATGCCAGTTTTATACTATCTGATACATCTTGATAAGTATTAATTTGTAAAGCAATGTCTACAAACAATTATTTTCTCAAATCCACAAACATGTCTATCACAGTGTTATAGCCTTTATATGCTGCTATCATATTTTCTCTTATAACACACTGTGACTGATATTTTTACAAAAATAATTGTATCTAAGTCATAAATGTCCGCAGATATGTTTAACTTAAAAAAACGCGTCAGTAAATCAATAAAGTTGCATTAACAGAGATCCCATAATCCTCCAGAAAATGCTTATCGAATCTAAGGTAACATAAGTAGTATGCATTGTTTAAATTAACTAAAATTGTTTCTATCCATTGCGTTTCTTTTAAACAGTAAAATCTAAATGATTTAACTGTCATTGCAGTCAGTTAATGTATTTTAAATTAAAAACTAAGATTTTCTATGGATGGATGAGACGCTAAGGCTTTATAAAAGACAAGAGCTAGGACTTAAGAGCTAAGAAGTCGTTTAAAAATTCAAATTACTCTGTAAGATTGTCTGCAATTATCTAATATAAACGTTGGTCAATTAATCACATGAAAATAGGGTTTTTATGTAAATAAAAGTAACTTTGAATAAATAGCAACTGAGTAAAACCAATTCTTATGAACAAATGGTTGAATTTGATATTTTCCAATTCACTTCTAAAGATTTCCTTATATATACATATATATTTGATTTCTAAAGAAGTTTCCATCATGTTTTATAGGAAACAGGAAGCATTCGACCTGGTGTAATAGGTGGAAGTAAACCCAGAGTGGCTACTCCGGAAGTCGAGAAGAAAATTGAGGAATACAAAAGTGATAATCCAGGAATTTTCTCTTGGGAAATCAGAGACAGACTTATAAAAGTAAATTTCATTTATAAATTGTTCTTCTTTAATTTAAGATTCATTATGCACTTTCTTTATTATGTAAGTAATATTTTATTTAATTCTAAGAAGAATAATTGTATTATTACTTTAGTAATAAATATTTGTTTCATCATATATCATTGCGTGTATACTTGTATTGGGGTTACTGTACTACAGTAGACTTTGAAGCAGATCGAAAATTTATCAAAGAATAAAGTAGGAAATCCTATGCTTTCGTTCTTTCGTTCGCTAAAAATAAAAAAACTGGAGTACATACTTCAACTAACTTGATTTTACTGCTATTATTAATGAAAATAATTAAGTGTTCTATTACTTTAGGCTATATAGTTTTATGATTTAACTTATGAGAATAAGCATTATGCGCATTGAAAGTAAAATTACCATTTGCTGCTATCTTTACAAATAAAATCCAAGAACTCCCCTCTCTATAATATGTAAACGCGAACTTTTCCTGGTAAATATTCCGTTTCCTTTCAAATTGTGAATTGCTTCTGCTGTTTATTGTAAACAAAATATTATTGAACTTGTATTATTTGAATAGCGAAAAGATAATGAAAAAATATAAATTCTATTAGCTTTAATAAAAGATTTTTTATTTTTATTTGAATAAATATGACTTTTGACTGCCTGTGCTTTTTCTAGTAAGTGTATCTGGAAGAATGTTTTTCTTTTATTCCTTGCTGCTATGCCTCAGCCGCTTTAAAATATGCCTACGTCCCCCCTCTTTTATTATGCGTCTTTCCGCTGCTTGAAGATGCAAGTTTTATTCTTATCGTCATTTTAAAAAAATTCTGTCATTACCCTAATTTTATAGGCAATTTTTTCAAGTACACTTTTTCCCCAATGATTATAATTGCAGTTCCATTTGAATACTATATTTTGCTGGATTATATTTTATTCTTGACATATATTAAAAATTTCCATAGTTTTTTATTTCCATGTTTTGTTAACTTCACGTTACGTTAAGGTACCGTTTCATTTATCCTCCACGTGATCTGGCAAGTTTTGCCATTCTGTGAAACATAATAGGTTTCATTCATTAACCATGAGGCCGGGAAAATTTTCAATTTCTAGAGGTATTGCTATTGCATAATCCATAAGATTTATCTTTTCGACATTTATCTGTCAGATTAAAACAAGTCATTACTTATTGATCGATTTAAAAGCAGTAAGAGAAAATCTTGATAATTTATACCCCCTTTTTTTTTTTTTTTTTTTTTTTTTTTTTTTTCATTTTCTAATAGTAACCTTAATTGACATAATTTATAGCATGTTTAATTTATGTGACTTATAATATATCTAACTAATAATTTTTATAAATTTTTGTACCGTTATCGTAAATAATAAAAAACGTTTCTAACTACATTACAACGTAACTTGCCTTAAAATAATCGTTTATGCGCCATATACAGAGGGTGTTTGCACATTTTTTTGGACGATTTTGATAAAGAATTAAAAAAATAGCAAATGTTTTACAATAACGATTTCTGGTAACAGCTTATTATTTAATATAAGAAATATTTTAAAATATAATCTTCTATTTCTGTTATTTTAAAATTTATTCTCCTTTCTTTCAAAATCTCGCATGGAAACAAGCTGAGGATTAAAGGACATGTTTTTACATTTTCCAAAGAGAAATATTCCTATTCCATAATTCAAAACATTGTAAAATGCTAGATATTAAAATTTCAAGAGCAAAGTAGGTAACATTTTTTAATCGGAAAGGAAAAGGCAGTCAATCATTACTTCTACATGGAATGAAGACTCCAAATGAATACCTGAAAAAGGTACGTATTGTTTCTAATGTTTCTAAAGCTAGTCATTGATAACAGAAATCAATTTCAAATCCTTTAAATACATCTATAGCAACAGTAAATAAAATAATAAACCAAGATTTACATCTTAAAAAAGCTAAAAATTATAATGATTACAAGCTTTTGCTGCGGCATATAAACCAACACAGAAAAAAGGTTTATTTATTATTTAAACAGAAGAGATTTGCAATCCTCGTTCCTTCAATGTCAGTCAGGAATTTATGACTGCCACAGGATTCTCTTACAATGGAAAATTAAAAATAAGAAGAGTGGGAAAATATATTAAAATCAACTCAACGTACTATCAACAGAAAGTTTTACGTTCGATACTTGCAGATGAAATTCCATTTCTTTATCCTAATGTCTTTCAAAGAGTGAAACTTAATCAAGACAAAACAATAAGACATACTTCAGAAAGTACCGCTATATTCCTTGAAAAAAATGAATTCTGACACAGGCATTGCATACATATCTTTTCAAAGTATTCCTGCGAAGGCCCTGACGTTTCACCTATGGACTATTGTGCTTTCGGTCTGTTGAAAAGAGCTCTTTCTAAGCACAAACCCTGCACGATTAATGGATTTTCGAAAGTAGTGAAAGAGGAATGGGAATCAATATCCCTGGAAATTTTGCGAAAGCGAAACACACGATGCTGACTTTTGCCAAGAAAAAAAGTCTATCAGATCGAACATTTAAAAAAGTACTCTTTACATTTTAAATATTAATTAAACAGCCCGAAATCGTTCTAAAAGTGTGTAAACACCGTCTGTAACAATCACTTGTTTTTTTAGATCTTTTAGGTTGCTATGTGACTCTCCTTCTCCTTCGATACACATGCAAATTTGTATTCCGAAAGCAATGGGATTGACAGTAACTTGCCTTGCATAAACACAATTATTAAACTATTAAAAATTTCATAAATTGATGCCTATAGTCATAATACTTCAACTCTGTAACTTTAAAACAAATTACTTCATAACTAATCATTTCTATTGCCACAAATAACTATTCATATCCTAAAACTCTAAAATCGTATTACTTGAATAATTACGAAAAAAAGGAATTGATTACTTTCAAATCAATGCACTTTCGAAAATGAGGGTTTTTTTCCTGCTGTATGAAAAAGAACGTATGTAAATAAATTAATGTAAAAGTAGAAAATTTTTACCTGTTCGAGTAAAGTTATAAGGTATTTCTCCCACTTCCCTAGCGTCCTTCGTGGTATAACGGTAGCACGCTGGGCCGGTATTCCAGAGGTCCGTGGTTCGATTCCCGGCGAAGGCGATTGCTAATTTTTCATCTTGTCTGCTTTAAAAAAAAATACCTAATGTCTCTACAGTGGCGCCCGAACTAAAAAAAGGGTTGTGGATGATGATTCTGCGCACCCAGGATTTGGCGACTAGGTCCCCTAAAACCCTAGTCGCCCTTTAAAAAGGGGAGTATATAAGGTATTTCTCCCACTTCCCCTGCGTCCTTCGTGGTGTAACGGTAGCACGCTGGGCCGGTATTCCAGAGGTCCGTGGTTCGATTCCAGGTGAAGGCGATCGCTGATTTTTCATCTTCTCTGCTTTCAAAAAAATACCTAATGTCTCTACAAAGTGAGATATGTAAATAATATGTTATGGAAAAGGTGTTATTTAAGCGAAGCCACTTAATTTTTGGTTAACTTTAGCCGCATGACATTCACTTTGACAATATTGTGTAATAATGTTCTAACAGTTTTTTTCCTGGCACATCATTTTATGTATTTAGTTGCATAGAAATAATGAAAGTTAAATTATGTATCTTTTCTATTTTTAAGTACTACCCTTGTAAAGTTAACCCCAAGCTATATCTTAATTGCTCTTAATTTAACTTCCTGTGCTAAAAACTACTTATTGTCCTCCGAATTAAACTTTGAGTCTAAAATTATAAGAAATACAGTCAAGAGGTAAAACTAAGCTAATTTTTTTTTTTTTTTTTTTTTTTTTTTTTTTTTTTTTACACTACAACATGTATGCACATTAAAAATGTAGGTATGAAAATTACTGAGCATTCTTTGCGGTACCTCGGAATACAGAAAGCTTGTATGTACGTAATAATTAATAGATTTTTAATATCTGCTAACCCGGCTCCAAATGATTTGCGATTGCTTTAGCTAACAGTTAGCTATTATCAGAAACGATCACCGAAACTAGTACAGTTAGCAAGTGGGCAGTTCACGGAAGAGGCAGCTTCGCTAATATGTTACCAAACTCTCTGGCAAACTCTAAATTTATCCCTTAAATGTTAGTTAAATCACACCTAATTTATATTCCTATGAGGCTGACTGAGAAAATAGAAGTAACAGGAAAGAGTTAACATAAAAATGAGGTGAAAATTAAAAAAAAAAAAAAAAAAGAAAGAAAGAAAAGAAAAGAAAGTAAAGAAAGAAAGAAACTTAATAACCTAAACGCGATACTTAGAAATTGCCAAGTTATTTAATTTGGTGTTTTTCTGTAGGATGGCATATGTGACAAGAGTTCGGCGCCCAGTGTGAGCTCCATCAGTCGAGTTCTTCGGGGTTCTCGTCACGGTTCTCGTTCTACCGATTCTGGCAGTGACTCCTGCGACGGCAGTAAAAAAGCGGATCATAGCATCGATGGTATTCTAGGAGGTAAGTACTCATTAATATTGTGGTTGAAAGAAGGGGAGACTGCAACTCATTTACGGGTGTGTGGTTATTATGTAAAAGAGTCTAATTGCTTTAAATAATTGATTTCTCTTTTTTATAACCACTTATCTTTTTAATACAGTTTAGCATTTGAGCAGTTAATAAAATTTGCGTTCACAGCTTGGTTTATACAAACGGTTTAGCATTTGTTAAGTAACCTCTGTAAGTCGCACGTTGTTAGATATGTTAGATCCAGTCCTTACAGAATAGCTGGAGGAATCGCGCAATCAAGTTTCGCCTGGGAAATTATGGATTGAGTAAGAAACCTATTTGCAAATAACTGTAGAAAATTTCTGTAAGTGGCGAAAAATTGTATAAATTGCTATAATTTACAAAATGACTTTCGTTTTTCCAAACTGTTAAACTCGAAGATCGAGAAAGTAATTACTTACTGTCACTTTAAATAAAATTACCTTCAGTGCCAGACATAGACGGCTTTATTAGGAATACTTTCTGCTAATAAGATGACTATGCTTCAAAATATTAATTGAACTGCAAGTAAGGAAATTAATATACAATAATCATGTTTACTTTCGCAGTGTTTCAAAGAACTTTCTGTAAAAAATTAATTTTCCGTTAAACAGATTTAAAATACTGGTATAAATATGTATTAATGCTTTTTATTCAATTAATTAATCGCATAAGAAATTTAATATTTTATTTTCTTAACATTAATCTTGGAAAAGTTACGCGATTACGAGCAGCTTACATTAAAGGCTAAAAAAAGAATTAAAATGTTCTTCAGGTGATTTTATAAATACTTGAAACACGCATCGATTTTCATCATGGTTCATACGATATCCTTTCATGAAGATAATGAAAAGGAATAATACAAATTTTTGCGTTTCGGAAAAAAAAAAGCAAAGTTCATTACATTTTGGTACATTGTGAGTATTGAGTGTCTTTACTTCCTAGTAAATTCTGGTCCTCTTCCTCTTCCCCCCTCCCAGATTTAAGCATAAAGGATTCAAAGTAATTAGTGGCTCTGGCCTTGAGTTTAATAGCAATTTTTCAACAGTAAAGATTTTAAATTATGTGAATAATTATTTATTGGATTGTTACCTAAAAATGACTTCTAAATGCCAAAGAATGAAACGTATTGTAAATCGATACAAATTCGAGCTAGTATGAAGTACTACGATCTAACGACAGACTAAAATACGCTCCTCTTCATCTTTAATTCATTTAGGAAGTTTAAATACATTTTCATCGAATTTGAATAAGTCTGAAATACCGGAAGCATTTTCCTTGCGTTAGAACAGCGTAGCAGACTTTTCGTAGCAGACGTTTTTTGCGTAGCAGACTTTTCCTTGTGTTAGAACAGTGTTGTTCAAACTGTGTTCCGCGGAATCCTGGGTTCCATGATTCAAATCCCAGGGTTCCGCCAGTCAAAATAAAAATTCGAAATGAAAATGTTAAACCACTCACCCTAATTGACTAGTGTTTATTAACTTAAAAAAATGTTAACATACGTTTAGTTTTCTTTGAAATGCAAGTACGCTGAAGTCACTAAATGTAATGCAATGGTAGGTGACACGAGGAGCATGAATTAATGTTATTAATGAACAAGTTGCATTGCTTCGTCTGTAATATAAAACTATTTGATTCTTTTGAGAAATAAAATACTTATGAATTTGAGTGTCAGTTAACATAAAACATTGCTATGGTTTTGTTTACCAAAACATTGTTTACGGTTTTGATTACCAGCTTTAAAACCAGAGATAATCTGAGATACAATAACACGCCGAACACATATTAATTTAGAAGTCAAACAACAAAAATCAGAGAGAGTCAGAGATAATCTGGTTTTAAAGCTGATTTCATTTCTCATTTTCCGCGTTTTACTGCCTTCTCGTTAAACACCTTCAGAATGAAAAGAAAATTCAGAATCACACGTTATCGCTTTTCACTCCGAGCTCATTATTATGTGAAAAGAGACGGAAAAAAACAGGGAACGCTGACTATCATTTAACACATATAACGCGTGTTTTCTGCCTGACGATTGGTAGTTTTAACACATCGTTCGATTAACCATAGAAACCAGGTGTAAACGCCTGCAAACAGCGTCATAGATCATGGCCCTGTCGGAAAGGGGAGGCTCTGAGCAAACATGTTTCGAGTGGGAAATCATCGGCCCCAGAGGGTGGGCCGTGTTTGCAAATCGCTCCTGCTACCAAATTGGATCTTTTCTACGCCCTAAATAGGATTACATACCTACGCATTTTACTGCATCTTTTCCATTCATTGTATTTCGAAGGAATTATTTATTCTGCAAACACCAAAGCTTTGTATAGGTTACGTGGCGTTGAGCGTTTTTCAAGTGTTAGTGTACGGATGTCCAAGTTTTGCAATTTCTGGCTGCATACCATTTCCCCCCCCTAATAAATAGAAATAATATTTTATACTTTTTCTATCTTATTTGCTATTTAAATATATTTACACTCTTTTTTAATATGATGATAATTGTGAAAGGTGTAAAATGCAGTATTTAAAACTAAGCTGAAAGCTCTTGTAAAAATGCCTAAAATTGTAAGAAAATCGAGCTACGTTATTTATTACGGAACAGCATTAGGGGTCTATCTAATTGCAGATCACTGTATGGGGTGTTTTAAGTAAAACTACCTGATATTCATAATCATTCGTGAACAGCTGTCATGCAGTCACCCCATATAGTAAATTTGGAAACAAATTATTATTATTCAGGAACCTTATCTTTTTTCTGCTAAAATCCACCCTCACGTCGCGAAAAATTAACATGCAAGGAAAATAATTCCTTCCAATACTAATTTGTTTTCCAGTGCTAAGATAGGTCTGAACGGGGGAAATGTTGAAAGAAATTATTTCATAACTTGCAGCGACAGGCAAATTTTGATTAAGACTGCAATGTGGAAGAGTACATTAATTTTCAAAAGTAAAGCATTTTCTTGGATTAACAAAATAATAATCATAATAAATAAAAATAAAATAATCAGTAAAATCGGCATTGTAATGTACGTTTAAGTAAATTCTTCTAGAAATACTTTATATCTTCTTGAATATATTGCAAATACTATATATACATATATGTAGCAATTATGGAAGCTAAATTTCGTAAATCAATATACTGGAGTATTACAGGCAACATGGGTTTTTCATATATTAAAGTAATTAAACATCGCAAGAAAAGCAAAGCAGCAGAGAATGCATAAATTGCGATATGAATGCTAGATTCAAAATAGTGAATTAACAGTTCAGCTTTATTTCAGTTGATTGGTTAAGGTTTTGATTTGGGAACTTTAAATTGATTATTCGCTAAAAGAATTTAGCTGCCCTTTTGTAATTATGTAAAGAAAAGTGTCATGAGCATCATATAAGAATTACGTGGCAAAGATTAGTTTTGCAATGCAGTTCAGGAAGACTTTTTTATTAAGCCCACTACTATTTTTAAGATAGAAAGGAGAAATAACTAAATTAAAAAAAAAAAAAAAAAGACAGAGAGAGAGAGAGGCTGCAACGAATTAAAGTCACAATTTTATTTTGCATGTTCTTTCAGCTTTGGATATATAAGTAGGAACTATTAGCATACTAATATTTACACATAGGTCAATACATAAATGTTAACCATGAACAAGTTTTGAGTCATAATTGCATTTATGTTCTCATTTTACAAATTTTCACTTATTTGCAACATTTTTCTAATCTTTAAAGGACGAAAAAAGTAAAAGCCCCTTGAAGAATTTGTTTTGTATATATTATTACTATATGCTGTGACTGTTTTACAACATTTGATAACCTTTAAATCCTTATAAAATATCTTTTCTTGCTACTCTATAACTCTTTCATACTTTTTCTCTCTATTTTTAATTACATTAGCTAACACTTAACTATCTATCCACCCAATAAAGGAAAGATAAAATGAATGAAATAATGTCAGTAACCTTTGATTTTATATATTCATCTTTTAGAAGGACCAAATCATTGGAATGACCGGTGTCCGCCGATAACATCGCGGCAAAAACATCGCGGACGAAAACGTCGCAGAGAAAAAAACGCAAGGCGAAAACATCGTGCTACAAAACATAGTAAGAGAAAACATCGCAGTTCTAAAACATCGTGGTACAAAACATCGCTGTCGAAAATAAAGCGGTTCAAAAACTTCGCAGTTTAAAAACATCGTCGTCGAAAATATCGTGGTAAAAAATAAAGTATCTACAAATCATCGCATGACGATAACATCGCAAATATACTTTTTCAGGTTTTAATAATTATAAATGGATATTCCCATTATGATTTGTGAGCGCAAGGTGTAAAGAAGGATAATTTTTAATTTCACATTTTTTTATTAACTAATAAATTTTTGCTGAAAAAATAAGAAGGAAACTTAAGCATAGAAAATTAAATGCAACTTATAGATTATACTTTTCATGAAAAATTACCAGTAAAACTTTATAAAAAATGATTTATTAATGGCCTTTGTTAGTTAACAATGTCGGTTTAAAATTCTATTAAGTGCTATAAGTTGCATTAATTTTCTATGCTTAAGTTTCCTTTTTATTTTCTCAGTAAAAATTTATTAATTAATAAAAAAATAAGGAAGTAAAAATTATCCTTCTTTCCATCTTGCGCTCACAAATCATTATGGGAATATCCATTTACAGTTATTAAAGCATGTCTGCGATGTTATCGTCATGCGATGATATGTAGATACTTTATTTTTTACCACGATATTTTCGACGACGATGTTTTTAAACTGCGAAGTTTTTGAACCGCTTTATTTTGGACGACGATGTTTTGTACCACGATGTTTTAGAACTGCGATGTTTTCTCTTTGCGATGTTTTCTCCAGCGATGTTTTGTAGCACGACGTTTTCGCCTTGCGTTGTTCTCTCCGCGACGTTTTCGTCTGCGATGTTTTCGGGTGTAACCGAATGACCTATCACTACTTTTAGATTTGTTTGTGTAAC